GCACTCCTGAGAAACCTCTGCAGAACCTTCTGTGCCTGTCACATCGGGCGCTTGGGCACTTCAAAAGAATTGATGTCACTCCAAGCATTTTTAGGCTACTGCCTTTTCTTGGTTCGAGAGAGGGGAAAAACCACTGTGGTCAAAACACTCAGCTGCAACTCGGGAGATTCAGCTTTTGCTTCTGTTGGTATTTTTTGTATCATCTCAGGAAAGCTGGGAAACCTCTCTGGGCCCGTGTCCCATGGGAGGCCAGGTTTTTTCCAAGCTTTCTGTTGGCTTCAAGCGCTCCGGAACACGGGTGGAGTGATCCTGCAGCACATCCTAAGCTGAGAGCTGCTGTCTGCAGCTTCCGTGTCCTTTCCCATCACGTCCTCGTTCCCTGAGCCACAGCCTGCTGTTTGCTGCTGCCTTCTCCTTCTGGCATCAGCAGCACTTGCGAGCAGGACAGTTTCTTAGTTGTGTTCCAGTCCTTTGTTGACAGAACCGTTTATCCCTTGGCCGTTTATTCCTTCTTAGGATCTGGTGCTTCACACACAGATCGGGCAGGATGTCCCGTGGATGTCCCGTCTCCGTTCTTAAGGCGCAGCCCATCCCGAGTGCTGCATTACAGAGCATTACTCTCCAGGTGCAGGGTTTGTGGAGGCAGTTTCTTAGATGCTCAGAGGCAAAATGCTGGGATTCACAGTGTCTTTGGTCCTTTAAATCCGCGAGTTCTCCAGGATCAGCAAGCTAAAGAGCCTGAAACCACCCGTGCTGACACACATTGGTGTTTGCTGCGCTTGCCTGGTCCTGAGAGTGTCGTGACACAGCTGGGCACAAAGCTCCAAGAGGGCCCGAGGAGAAGCTGGTCCCGTCGCATCCTCGCTGGGAGGGCTCTGTGGTGGACGGTCCGTGCCCCACGGCCTCCAGCAGCGCAGCCCTGGCCTTGGGATGCGCAGGGCAGCTGGGATTTTATCAGGCCTTAAAGGCCTTAACTTGTAAGTAATGTTTGGAGCAGAAGGGCTGGGAAGGAACCAGGGCTGCAGGGTTGCTCCCTAGCACCCCATTTCTGCTGCTGCCATCCCTTAGTAGCTCTCCAGTAGCTCTGGGCTCCAAGGAAACAAACTGTACCAGGGCAGAGAGAAACCTGCTGCAGAAGCCAGGGGAGCCGCCAGGGAGGTTTTGTGCATCCTCCCTGGGAACACGGGCTCGGGGGAGCACAAATGCAGTCAGGACAACAACGCTGGTACACGTTTCCTAGGCCCTTCTGTGGCTGCAGGGAAGGAACGTTGCAGTCGTGTTTGCCTGTGACAGAGCACAGGGCTGCTGCTGCAGCTGCAGGGCCTGCGGGGACGGGCGCTCGCAGGAAACTTGCCTTGTCTCCAGCACTGATAATTATATCCCATCGATTTGAATTCCCCTGCTGGGACTAATGAGATCCATGGATTGTGTCCCTTCCCCCACTTTAAACATTGGGAATTGAGACTGCATCTAGGGGCTGGGAGAGGTAACAGCCGTGTCCAAGTCTGTTCATCCTGCCGGGGGGTGGCAGCGACGTGGCCGCCGCGGCCTCGGAGCACGAGCGGGGCCGGCCCGTGGAGGGGACCTGGGGAGGCTCCAGTCCTGGGACAGGAACGCTGCCTCTCTCAGCCACCTCTGCCCCAACATTGGAGTCCTGGGGCAGGCTCATGAAACTACCCACAGGCTCATATGTCAATACATATATATATATAGTCAATTCTTGCCTTTTTCTTTCATACTATGTGATGCTTTCTTCACCCTAAAATGTTTAGGATGCAGAAGGTCACCTGGTGGCCTCCCTCCCAAACAATATGTTTTGGCTTTTCTCATTTATACTGTTTGAAACAGTTGTAACTGAAAGAGCTGTTAATGCTGGTGTTTTTTTCTTTTTTTGACTAAGGCAAGGTTTGATCCTAAGGTAAGTGTGGACATGTCTGAAATCTGATTAGTATCTGGTCCTTCAGTACATTCTTTGAATGTACTTCTGTGCCCACAAGTTTCCAATGGAAAGTCGTGCTTGCTGAACTCGGAGCAGTAACTGAGCGCTGCTTCGAGCAGCAGTGCTGCACGGGGCAGGGGTGCCCTGAGAGTGCTGCAGGCAGGAAGTCCCACCAGGCTATTTCCCTCTAAAGCAGCTGCAGGAAGGGGAGCTGGGATTGCACAAAACTGGGGCAGGGGCAGGATGCTCCCCTGGGGCTCTTGCTGCATCATCACCGGCCTCGCTAAAAGCTGCCTGCAGACTGATGCAGCCCACACGTCCACCTGGATTTTTTTAAAGGACAAGAAAGTTACAATCTTGGTATTTAACCATCTCAGTCAGGTAGGTGGTTTTCAGGAACTTGGAGCACTCAGCAGTTCCTACGTAGTACTCTCAAACGTTAGAGAAATGAATTTACACAGTTGCATTTCAGGATGGTTTTAAATGCCCATCATCATCTTTCTGAAAAACGAAGAGTTGGTATTTTGTGTGTACACAAGCTGGGTCCCCTGTGGTGTTTTCGCCTTGCTCTAAACCTGTCCCTGCTCTAGTACCAAGATACTGGTATTAATTTCCACCACGTCGCACCAAACCAATGCAGGTGCCTGAAGTGCTAATCTAAGGCTAGAGATGGGGCACTTGCAAGTGCAGCACAAACAGCTGGAGCTATTTAGCTGAGGAGGAGAAAGCAGCAAAATAGGGCTTGTAAATAGAGATTTGGCGCTCGTAAAAATAAGTCTGGGTGTTGCATGTTGTATATCCTGGCTCTGGAATAGAGACCCGGGTCGGTCTTCCCGGCACACGCGCGCGTGTGCCGGGAAGACCGACCCGGGTCTCTATTCCAGAGGTTTGAGGAGTGCAGAGGGCAGGAGGTTGTGACAGCAGCAGAACTGCTGGGTGTCTCGTCTGATCTCACACCAAAGAGGAGGTAGCTCAACCCAACAGGGAAAGAAAACCCAGCCTCCATCCAGCGTGTCTGGAACCCCACAGGTAACCCAAGCGCTGTTTTTTTTCCTTTCCAGAATAATCAGTGCATTCCAGCTGGATTGGAAAACTACTACTCGGAACAAGACTCCAGTGCCCGAGGGAAATTTTACACGGTCATAAACCACTACAACCTGGCCAAGCAAACGATCACGCGCTCCGTGTCGCCCTGGATGACGGTGCTGTCCGAAGAGAAGCTCTCCGAGCAGGAGACTGAGGCTGCAGAGAAATCAGCTTAGCTCAGATAAGCTCGTTAGGACCCCAATGTCATTTGAAGGTAACTAAGGGACTTTAAGGACCTTTTCATTGATGCTAATTACGGATAATTTAGAGGTTACTCATGTTTATGGTGCAGTTGCTTCTGTTTGCTGATACTGCTTTGCAAAAAAAAATAACAAAAAACAAAAGCAACCAAACGAAAACTTGCTGCAGACCATTTCTGGGCATAAAACAAGGTGCATCTCAGCATCGCTTTAGAGCTTTGACACCATTTTCAATGTTTAAGAAATCCAATGTTATATATGGTCTTGTAACTTATTGGATGCCGACAGATTTCTTCATGGGATTTTGCAGGGCTTGAAATTTAGATAAATCATGTGTTCTGTTGTCTGAACTGGCACTTTATTTATTCTTTTTCTTATTGTTGGTCATTTTGCAAACCGAAACATCACAGCCATAACCAGAGTGATCTCTTGTTTCGCTAAGAGCTGTATCTTTATATTTGATTTCTGCTCAAGCAAGAATGATAATAGCAAGAGCATAATATAATGATTGGTATGGAGGAAGGACAGATAGGTGAGGTAGCATTTTTTTCTTACATTTCTTTACTGTTGTTGATTTGTAAGTGATAATGAAGTTCTCTGCAACACGGCATGCTCAATGTTTTATTATTGCTGTCAACAGGATTTAACTGCATTTTCCACTGTGGCTTTAGCATCTTGGTAAGGATGTGCACAGAAACATGAACTAGATAAGACACTATGGAAAAACACAGGCATTTTTAGTAATGGATGTTGAGGCTAGTGTAAAAAAAAAACTCATTAAGTTAAGGATGTTCTAATGAGAAATGACATGTTTTAATCATATTAAGAGGCAGAAAGCCTATTCACAGTAGATGTAGTCCACTATGTAATTTGTTGGATATGACAGATGGAGTAATGTCTAAATTTGCTCTTATTACATTAACATTTTCCCTTTTATCTATGATAACTATCTTTGAGTTAAATGTATGGTTTGCAGTTTGCTACTCTTTAAAACACAAAGCATCACAAGTGGAACAGTAGCATCTAGGTACCCAGCTGGCTGTTTTGAAGCTACATGTGAAACGTGAGTGAAGAAGTTTAAGTGTCATGTAGGGCTCGGGAGGGGAAAGAGGTAGATGGGCATCGTCTTGTGGACCCACAGTCAAGCTCCATTGTAATTACAGATTTCTCATCTCTTCTTCGTATGAAGCCATGGTTTCTTTTTTATTATAAATCTCAAATACAAATATTACAACAGAAATCATGCCATGACTGTTTAAGTTGAAAGAGGCGTGGGACACGCGCCAGGGAACCAGCTCCCTTTTCTCTTTCTGTTCTTATTACTCGGATGTGCTGGTTGTGGTGGACATGTCAAAAGTTCCATTGTTTTTGTAGAAACTATTCAAAATGGAAGGGGAAAAAACATCAATCTGGGTTCTTTCTCAGCACAGAGTTCAACAAACATGGTCACCTTTCCCCTTTAATTCTTCCCCCGTACAGTTGTGCTGTTAACAAATTTTCTTACCAATACAAGTAAAAAATAACCATTATTCCTTAATTCTCCAGGTTTGATATGAAATGTGCATTAAGCAGTAATATTGGTAAAAGGCTTTTTATTATGTCATTTTGTTAAGTGGAATGCATAAAAAGCAATAAATTGTGCCAAATTGTTCTTTGCATTTAAAATTTCAAGGTTATGTTAAAAAAATGTTCAAAACATACCATGTTTGCATTTTCTAGGAGACAAGTACATTACTGAATGTAATTAATTCACATGTAACTTTTGACATTTTCACTCTGTACAGAATAAAGAATAAGGATGATACTGCTTGTGGCATATCTATATAGATACATTTCTGAAGAGAGCCAAACAAACGGTTCATATCAACATATTTACAGAGGCCATTCAGATATGACAAGGTAGGAAGATTATCCGACATCGAAGCAATTCATTACATATCTCCTCTCAAACTTAAGGCAATAAAAACAGCTTTATGTAACAAAGCAATTCAAGTTAATAGAGATGAGAGACAATCAGCCAACTTGTTTCTCTCATTATAGCAGTAAACATCAAAAATAGTGACGCTTTCCCGTCCCGTGAGGCAGCTCGCTGCTGCCCAGGCCTGCAGGGAGCAGCAGGATTCCCTCTGCCTCCCACAGGCACCAGTTTCCTCCTTCGCATCTAGAGGCGGCTCGAGTGCTTCTGCACTGAACACGTCACTCACCATTTTAGTACTTGGGAGAGTGTGGCTTTAATATTGTCTATTCTTTGGCTTTGTTCCAGCATCTCAGAACATGTTTCATTTACACATTTGTTTTCTTGTATTATCTTCTTTGCACCTCAAAGTAAAATGTTTCAGTGGGGGCTTTGGTTTGGTTTTGAAATCAACCACCTTTTTGATCTCTGACTAAAGCAGGTCTCAGAGATCAGAAGTGGAGGTCACACATGCAGACTGCTCCTGCTGAACAGGGCATAGTGCTTGCACCAACCTAGTGGCTTTTGCACCACAATTTTCACATGATCTGCTCTGTACACAGGGAGGGGGACTTTAAATATCAACAAATGGGGTAAAACAACACTCACTTCTTTTTCTGTTACTGCCTATGCTGCTGCTCACAGCTTTCTTACAACTGATTCAAAGATTTCTGGTTCTTTGCAGTTTGGATTAGCATTTATTTTAAGTCCCTTTATCAAATGTAATCAGCTCCCTCTGCACTAATACATAGGTATTGATTCATTGGCAAATACTTCCATTATAGCAGTATGAAAAAAAAAAGCATAAACTATGCAGGTCAGACTATCCCACTCCACAGAAAACATGTCAAGAGTTCTTAAACCAACGCTTGCAGATAATGGTTTAATCAGTTATCGTACCAGTCCAGGAAAAGCAAGGAAAAGGAGCACATCACAAGGAAGAAGAGGATCCAGACTCTGAAGCCAGCGTTGTTTTTGATTGCCTGGGAGGAGAAAGGGAATGTCCATTAGCGTTGCCAGGAAAGGGTCAGTAAGTATTTCAGCAGTGACAACCGTTGAGGACTGCTAGTGGCTTCAGAGACAAAACCCACCATCACTTTCGATAAACAGAGGGCAGCTGGCCACACCTCTCCAGATCCACCCCACTAAAGGTTCTTTGAAAACCAGTTATTAAAAAAAAAAAAAAAACCCTATATATCTTTGTCAAAGACAAGGTCACTACATCTAAAACATGGCGAACTATGACAAAAATCTACACATTTATTTAAAAAGCTAGCTTTAAGTTCCAAAATTGAATTTGTGTCATCAGAAGTCAATTCTCCATCATTCTACTAAACATCTTCCACCTAAGAAAACCCAGCAGTGCTTTCTGGCCACCGGGTAGCAATGCCCATGAGGTGTTTCGGCCTCAAAGCAAGTAGCAATTCTAGCAAAAATTTTTCTAGGGGTCTTCTAGACACTTGGGGTCTCCTAGAACTGACACTTGCAGCTACTAGGGGACCTATTTTACACTTTCATGTAATGCAAACATTAGTATGAATGAATGGTTTTGTATTTGGCACCTCTAGCACCTCCTCTACTGTTCCCTCAGTGGGCTTGAGGAAACAGTTCTACCTACAAATGAACAAAACTGAAGGAAAAAAATGAAATTAGTGGCACGGGGTGAACACAGGTCTCTGCATCTCTGACCATGAAGTGGTGGAGTTTGGGGTCCTGCAGGGAGGAAGCAGGTCCATGAGCAGCCTCAAGCCCACTGGGAGGAATTCCATGGGATGGGGCCCTACAAGGAAGGAGGGTCCAAGGGAGCATCGTTGCTCCAAGGCCAGGAGTGACACAAGGAGCCCTGTGGGGATGGGCAAGGAGCTCCTGGCAGAAGAAGGGGAGATACAGAATGTGGAAAGGAGGACAGGCCCTGCGGGAGGAAGAAGCGGAGCGGTGCCAGGGCATGCGGAGGTGGATAAGGAAGGCTGTGGCCTATTTGGAATCAGATCTGGCAAGGGATGTCAAGGACAACAAGAAGGGCTTCTTCAAATGCAAAAGTAGCCAAAGGAAGAGCAGGGGCAATGTGGGTCCACTGCTGACTGGGGAGGGTGATGAGAAATACAGAGAAGGGGGAGACACTGAGGGCCTTCCTTGCTGCTGGCTTTACTGCTAAGAGCAGCCCTCAGGAATTCCAGACCTGGGAGACGAGGGAGTCTGGCAAAAGGAATTGCTGCCTGGCTTGAGGAGGATCAGGTCAGAGCTCAGTTAGGACAACCTGACACCCATGGACCCCCATGGGAGGCACCCACGAGTGCTAAGGGAGCTGGTGGCTGTTACCACTAGGCTACTCTCCATCATCTTGGAAAGGTCCTGGAGAAATGGGGGTGCCTGAGGACTAGAACAAAACCAGTGTGACTCCAGTCTTCACAAAGGCCAAAGGGAGGACCAGGCGCCTGCAGGATGGGCGCAGCCTGAGCCCTGAGGAGCACTGAGGTGACACAGCCCAGAAACGTTACCTCTCGTATGTCCTCATTGCCTTCTTTGATGTTCTCTGTTGCACCCACAACTAACTGGTGGATATTGTCAATCTCTGTTTCCTGTTATGGAAAAAAAAATGCATTTTTCATTCCCACTAGGCTCATTAGGAACACATATTAAGAAGAATATAAGAGAAAATAGTAAATACCAGCATGACTTTGCTTTTGTAAACAAAAACAATCCCTTGTTCCCTTCATGCTTGCATTAGAGATTCATTAATCTTATATCTTGCCTGCAAGCAAGACCAAAACACCCCAAAGAAGAATCTACAAGGTAGATTTGCTACTGTAATATTAAGGTATACTAACCTGTTGCAAGACCTTTTCAGTGAATATCTCTTGTAATCTGGAGATTTCTACCACCTTTCCTTCAATTTGTCTTGATAAAGAACAGAAACAGCATTTCAGAAATCAGTGCAAACACTTCCTGCTGCTCCTCATTCCCATTCTCCAACCCTCTAACAGGAGCCTATCCAAAAGGCACAGTTAGTCTGGCAGCAGTTTATGGCACAGCTGTAACGTGTGACTGTGGCTTTAAACATTCACTGCTGGATGAAGACACAGTGGACCCCAAGTAGTTAATTTTTACCTATCCTTTTTATATGTTACTATGAAGTATGAAATTCATCTTACCAAGCAGGAATAACGTGAGCAGGTTCTACTTAGAGCCAGGTGAGCAGCTCTCCCGCTGTTTTCCAGGCATGGGATAGACAAACTAGCCATGCCTGGAAAACTTTAGCTTTTAAAAATCAGGTGAGACCGTGAGCCTCGCTCTGAAATGTGACCAGTACTGCTCTGTACAGGGCACATACTGCTTGGAAGCTGCTTTTAAGCGTATAGATCCCTATAGTCCCCTTGACCCATGCCCAGGTGACCAGCACGGATCCCGACACTCCCATTTCACAGCACATCCCTTCATGCTCCTGCAGTGAGCACTGAGGAGAGCCAGTTGTACCTGACTTCATCGAAGAGACTGTTCATTTCGCCCACGAGTCTCTGGTTCTCCTGTTCAAACTGGAAGAGAAAACAGAAAGGACCCACATGAGGTCACAGCTCTGGGGCCCCACAGACTTCCTTCAACACCCCCTTCCCCGCTCTCCCTAGGCCACCACCTTTCATTATGAAATATTTACAGGATGTCACAACCAAAGGGATCTCCAGGAGTTCCTCATATTAACCTAAAGGAATCTGCTTATTTGTAACCAATCATTACAACAGTTGACGTTCTCCAGTTGGGGAACCAAGTGCCAAAATAGTAATTTTTATTCTAGTTCCTTTGCACTAAAGAAAAAATACATTGGAGGAAATTAGGGCCTCTCTACTGCCCTTTTATGTACAGTATTTTCACTGCGGACCGCTCAAACTCTCCTCATGTCATCTCTGCCCTGGCACTGCACGTGAGAGCAGTTCAAGATTTTACTACAACATGAAATATTTTAACATCTAGTACTTCAAACTTTATAGATGCACAGGCTTTTCCTATCTCACCTATTTCATTTAAAAATGGTGGGTAACAATGAAGTACTTAAATACCATATTCTTCATCATTTCAAGTGCTTAAATTCAACATTTACACACTATATTCTTTAAATAAGTAAGCTTAGGAAGGCAGCAAACAGCAGCACCTCTGTAAGTGAACATGAGCTTTGATACTGTGGATGCCCGTCAGTGCCGGAGCGCTTGGAGCTCGTTAGGGAACAAGGGAGCGCGGGACAAGCAGGGACACAATTGGCTGTAGCAGAATCTGCACAGCCAAAACGCGGGTGGCACGGGTGTCACCGCTGCTCCCATCTGCAATGGAGGGAGCTCCTCCCAGGCTGCCCAAAGCCTGAGGCTGGGAGCAAGGGAGGTGCTTCCCAGAGGGGAGGGCAGGTCCGCATGGGGAAACAGCCTCATCTTGTGCACAGCACAAGGAAAGGAGGGAGCAGGAGGGAAACGCCTGAATCTCAGGATCTGCCGAGTCACAGAGAGGGTCGCGCTGTGTAGCTCGGAGGCAGAGGGACAATGTCCCTAACAGCAGTGTTACTGAAAACAGTTTGGCATTTCAGGGTGGTTTAAATCTTCATTAAGATGCAACATGATAATCAGTGGCTGTATGAGCTGTATTCAGACTCTCAGAACTTATTCCAGTGCCCATGCAGAGGAGCTGGTAAAGGCCGGGCTGCAGCGTTGTCTCATGCTGCATCGCTGCGTCGCAACCTTTGGGATACGGACCGGAGCTGTAGGGGGATCCGTGCTGCTGCTGCTGCTCCGCTCCCCTAAGCGAGGGCTGCTGCTCATCCCCTTGCACAGGACGGCAGCTGGGCCCCGAGCTGGGCACCTGCCTTTGTGTCCTCCCCAATTTTCTGCTGGATTAGGAGAGTGAACCTCCCCCTGGGCTGCAGCCACGGCAGGCTTGGGGCAGGTTTAGCACATTAACAAGACACAAATTTGTGCATTTAATCTGGCAGATGCGAGTGGGAAGTGGCTTTTTTTTTTTTTTTTTATTAAAAGAGGTAATGGTTAATCTCTTAGGGAAAGGCTTAGTTTTCTGGCGTACACATTTTATTATAATAATAAAAAATGATTTTAATTTCTTTTAAAATATAAGCGCCTTTGTGCAGCAGAGGTTCCCCAGACCAGGGCAGAGGACAAGGCTGGCTCTGGGCTGAAGGCTCCCGGCAAGGACATGTCCTGCACGGCTGCCCTGGCTCTGCCTCAAGAGCTGAAGCTTCTGCTCCAACAGCAGCCGCTCTGTCTGCGGCACCTCCTTCAGAGAGTAGAGTGCTCCCTAAAGCTGCATCACTGAACACACTAAACATTCACTTCAAAAAGCAGGGAGGTAAATGGGTTTCATCATCACAGAATGGTTGAGGTTGGAAGGGACCTCTAGAGATCACCTAGTCCAACCTTCCTGTTCCAGCAGGGACACCCAGAGCACGGGGCACAGGGCGGCATCCAGATGGGTTTGGAAGATCTCCAGAGCAGGAGACTCCACAACCTCCCTGGGCAGCCTGTGCCAGGGCTCTGTCATCCCCACAGTGAAGAAGTTCCTCCTCATGTGGAAATGGAACTGCCTGTGTTTCAACTTGTACCCACTGCCCCTTGTCCTGTCACTGGCCACCAACAAGAAGAGTTTGGCCCCCTCCTCCCTACATTCTCCCTTCAGGTACTTAGACATATTGATCAGATCTCCTCTCAACCTTCTCTTCCCAGGCTAAACAGGCCCAGCTTGCTCAGTCTCTCCTCATACAAGAGATGCTCCAGTCCCTTAAGCATCTTTGTCGCTCTCCGCTGGACCCTCTCGAGAAGCTCCACGTCCCTCTTGTCCTGGGGAGCCCAGAACTGCACACAGTACTCCAGGTGCGGCCTCACCAGAGCTGAGTAGAGGTGCAGCATCTCCTCCCTTGACCTGCTGGCAACGCTCCTCCTGATGCAGGCCAGGATCCCATTGGCCTTCTTGGCCACGAGGGCACACTGCTGGCTCATGGTTAACTTGGTGTCAACCAGGACTCCCAGGTCCCTCTCTGCAGGGCTGCTCTCCAGTAGGTCAATCTGTACTGGTGCCTGGGGTTATTCTTGCCCAGGTGCAGGACCCTGCCCTTGTCCTTGTTGTGTGTGAAGCCCTTGAGCTTCACACTGGAAGTCTCTGGTTTCAGGGGAGTGGCAGCAGGGAGAGCCAAGGGAGAGGGCCCTGAAATGCCCACGTGGCTCCAGCGCCCACGCAACGGGATGGAGCGGGACACGAACGGAGCAGCACACCCAAGCTGGCACCATCTCTCTCTGCACTGTAGGAACAACTATAACTAATATAGTTATAGCACTAATAGCACTAATATCCAGCACTAACAATTCCATACTTCAAGCAGTCATAGCAAAACCCAAGATGACAACCAATTCAGAAGGCACATTTTCAATAAGGAAACAGTGGATGCTTTTAATCCCTTACAAAGTGCACACATCCACTTGAGAAGTATTATTATAAAAGTCCCTTTGATATTTAGACCCCTCCATTGGCATGAGATTCTTTTAGAACACTGCTAGGTGCCCTCTGCAATCTGAAATCCTGGCTGATGAATGACTGGTCTCAGGCAGCAGCAAGGTATGGTAAAAGAGTCAGCAATGGGGTAAAATGCAGAACACATCATACATCAACGTGTCCCACAGGAATTCACACAGCAGCAACGTAAAGCAAACTACAGCAAGCAATACAGCTCAACAGTTTATGACTTATTAAAGTAGTTGCTTTTTTATGAAAGTAAAATATTCTGTTACCAAAGTATGGCACTGAGTGACAAATTGCAGACTTTCCTCAGAATCTAATGACTAGATGAAATAATCAGAGTATTTTTTTTGTTATCTCATGAGGTGAATCATTAAATGTACTTGATTTTGGTTAAGATAAAAAGTAAGATGAAAAGAGATAGGAAGAAATGAGACATTTTCACAACTCAAACAGCAGAAGCTATTCTTTTTCCCCACTCAATCTGACCGTAACACATCTGCTCACAATAACTATAAAAACATTAATATACCTGTATGAGGGGTTATAAACTGAAATTTATTGTGCAAATCATACAATAGCCTACAACCATTTTGAATCATGTAACGATCTCTCCTGTGGGTGAAATAACGAGTTAAATTGCCCTTGCAGCCATATGATAGGGCTTTAATTCATTATTTTACCCACAGGAAGGACCATGAAGCCATCACTGAGAACTGTAAGCACAATTTGCCACAACACATTCCAATTTAAAACCGATACAGCTGTTTCTGGGCTGTAACCTGTCTTCTTCCTTCTGAGTGTTCCTGGATTTTATTGAGTAACTTAAATGCAGTAAAATCCACTCTTCACAAATCAAACATTTAAAAAGTCAAAATTCAGTTGTCTGTAACAGCAAACATAACACAGAGGGGAAATAATTAGGGAATCAGTTATCTAAAACCAGGCCGGTTCCTAAAGGTTTGCAAAGAACCCTTTGGATTCTGCCCTAAAGGCACAATAAAGCATTTAAGTGCTGCACATTTGGCATGATTTCATTTGAGAGTGATAATGACAAAAAAAGCAAGGCGCATACTTGGATTTTTCCCATTTACACCAATATTTATATCTACTTACATCCTGGACCCAGGTTTACATAAGAGTTAGGTGACCAGTCATTCTTTTCAGAGTCTGATAGGAAGGGGCATTACACAGTATCCATCCTTACCCAGAAAGGCCAAAGCACTGACAGGGAGCAGTTTCACCAGGGAAGAGACATCACAGAATCACAGAATGGTTGAGGTCGGAAGGGACCTCTAGATATCATCTAGTCCAACCCCCTGCTCCAGCAAGATACACATATCTTTAAGACTCTGTAAAGACTCTTTATTTTATCTCATCTTTAAGACTCTCTAAATTCCCTAGTAGTGGTATTCCTAAAATGAGAAAGAACTCACGTTAGCTCCACAGAAGAGAATGGTTTGCTAGGCTGTAAACATCAATACCTTAGTGGCAAAGACCTCAAAGACCTGCAGCAGCCAACCTGTTGCTGCACACACACGTACCACAGAAACCTGCACCTCTCTGTCTGCAGTTTGGTACCTCCAATATAGGCTCTGCAGTTCAATTCCAAGGAAGTTACCCCCTCAAAACTGCGTCCATCAGGGAGTATTAACTCGGAACAATCAGCTCATTTTCTACTAGACAACCACACATGAAGAGAGCAGAACATCACCCATACTATTATTGCCATGAATACCGACTCACTTAAGCCGCTAAGTTACTTGAGTAGCCTCCTCTCAAGGTGCAGTGTGGAGGTAAGTGATGCTGGTTAACAGCAGAGGCAGAAGGAGCCTGGATTTGCTCCTGACAGAGCCAGCTCAGGCTCGTGCTCCGGGTGAGAAGTGGAGATCCCAGGTGACTGGTGGACACAAACACGGGGTCAATCTGCAGGGGTCAAGCAGGAGAGAGGAGCCCTGGTAGGATCAGGGCCACGGGAAGGTTCAAGGGGATGTTCAGCTCCCAGGATCACAGGGAAATCAGCCACCAGGTCGGGGCCAACCTCCTGCGAGGAGACACTTCAAGCAGCAGCTCTTCCAGTTCTACCTTCCCAGGCTTACCCTCTAAACCCAAGTTCTAAGGAGTATATAACCAGAAAACATATTACGTATCAATTTAAGGAGCAAAATACTCCACAAGACCAGTAATAGTCTTTCAACATATTTTTATATATATTTTTATATATATAACTGCCAAGTTATATATCATCTGTTGCTTTTCTATCTGTGTTTTTTCCACTCAACAGACAGGTAAATTCAAAGCTGAGGTTAAAAGTTTCAAGGACAGGTCGTTCCTCCAGGTTTAGGCAGAGCAGTGACATCAGGACCATATTTCCTTGCAAACTGCAGGCAGAACCACGTACGTAAACAAGGAGTAAAGACACTACAGTCTTTTACTTGTTATTGTAACCTGGAGCATCAGTGATGGTTTTCTATCACTTTTTTGCAGGAAGTGTAAAGCACAACAGAAGTGACTCAGTGCAAAGATACCAGTACAAAAACCCAACCAAAGCACCATATTTTAGATGGTAACTTTGAAAGGGTAAAGAAAAATAAAATGGATTGTCTAAAAATGTCTAATGGTTCTCTCTTAGGAGGAACTGGCAGAATGCCAGACAATAATTAATTTAAGATTGGATACTTAGGAATCTAGAACTCTTTAAAAGTATTAGACTATGAATCGATTTTTTCCTCTATCTTTTAGGATAGAATCACCCCCTCTCACAAGTCAACAGAGAGGAACTTAATCCAGAACTTAATCTTCAAATGTTATGTGAGTAAAATCACCATCTGCAGATGCTTATCTTCCTTCACTGTTGCTAACAGAAGATTAAAGTAAAACCTCACAGACTAAGACAATTCAGTTAAGCTGTGAGATATCTGGAGACTTACTCTAGAAAATATAAAAGGATTCCAGGAAAAAGCAATACATGCAGTCCCAACATACTATATAACAGGTTTAAAACTCACTAGAGCATGAGGGAGGCCTACAAAAAGCAGCCTATCTTGTTTAGCAGTGAATTATTTTAAAGCCTTGCCAAGCAATCACCTTGGATGCTTCTTTCCTCCCGATTCCCTGGATGCTTGTGATAAAGGGGTTAATAACACTGTGCCCAAACAACGCAGAGAGAAGGAAATAATGAACGAGGCAGGAACAAGAAAGCCTTTTGATTCAGGCTGACATTGCAAAACTAAGTGCTTGCAGCCAGAGCAGCATCTGAAGCATCTTTTCCCCTTGACAAGCCGTGCCGTAATTGCACCCAACTTACTCATCCCTGCCTGGAAGGGTGACACCCGCCCTGCTTGGGAACAGCACGTGCCACTGCCAAGGAAGCTTCAAACATGCACACGGAGGCAGCTCTTTGCCTTTGTAGATCTCACCATTTGAAGACTTTCCATCTAATAATGTCTGCTTACAAGTTATTTCTTTATTCTGGTCAGTTATTTATTTATATAATGCAGTAAGTGTTAACACAGATAAGTTTCCTAAGAATTCTGGACCACATGCAGAATAGATATTTTAGGAATATCAAAATGTAACAGATCAGATGGCAACAACCATTTCTATTTCAGAAATCTAATCTAACAGTTAAGTTGCAGGCAGAACTATATCAAGGAATATTCAAGAGAGGGGATATACAGAAGGCAGCATTCATGAGATACTGGTATGAAGGAAAGTCTGCAGCTATTCCTTCTAATAGCTAGAAGAAATAACAGAGAACTGCAACAATTTTAAATACTAAATACCAGAAGAACAAGGAAGCCACGCACAAATGGCAAACACCTTGTTCTTGAGTCACTCAGTAAAGAAAGCAAGCTGAAAAAGAATGTGGGTGAATTTACCTTTCCTTAACACATACGGATGGAGAAGATAGAATAAAATGGGCAACAGATTAAAAAAAAAAGCACACTTACCATTTGTATCTCTTCAGGTGAAAGCTCGTCTTCACCTTTGCCATCGCCCCATAATCCAAGGCTACTGTTGGCATCAGGCAGATTTCTGTCTGTAAAAGAACCACCAGAAACTTCAGACAATGCAGCACAGTGACAAAGCATTTTCTATTCATTTCATAACCCTGATGAAATTATTAATTTCTCATTAGCGGAGATTCATCCAGTATCTCCAGCATTCCATTACACCAATAAGCCTAAACTTCTGGCTAGGACAGAGGTCTACACGGGTCTTTAATTCTGTGAACTCTTGATGAGCTGCACTGCAGTAGTGCTAGTGCAGCATATAAAACAACTCATGATGCTCTCACACTTGTTTGGGTGCAAAACACTGAAATACTTGAATTTTAATAGAGAACAACACACAATTTTCAAAACGATAGCCTATACACCAACCCCTCCTTCCCTTGAGATTTGACAGATTCACCAGCTCCTCATTCCTCAACATGGAAAACACAATTTCAGAGAAATTTTGAGCAGTTTCCAGGACACATTCTACTTCCTCGCGCTGCCCAAGCTGCCTGGCACAGGGCAGATCCCACAGCAGCACCTGCACATCCTGGCTGCTGCACTGATTGCAGCAGCTCTTCTCCTTTGATTAAAGCTAATCATCTGCATAATCTTGCAGGAGTGGGACACAAAACATCTTGAAAGGCTATTTCTAGGATATTCCCTCTGGAAGCTTATTTTTAGGATTAATTATATACTTCTGATTATAGAAAAATGTTAAAATGGGAAAGAGAAGAAACTATCCTATAAGAACCTCCTATTACTAAAGCTATTTTGGCATCAGCCTTTAAAGTCCTAAAGACGTGACTCATCCTGGGACGGCCTCTTCTCTTCCCCCACTGGATGAGGCATTTGTACAAAACCCAGGACGCAGATTTGCACTGTCCAGAATGGAATTATCAGACAAGTTAGAAATTATATATAAAAAGATACAGTTTTTACTTTAAGAGATTTCAAGCTTGCTAGTTATTATAGTTATTTTTCCAGGAATGTATTTCATGTATTTCCATTTGCTTTGTTGCAACCTTTCATGCCTGAATTCTTTCAATTATATAAGCAGCACTATAATTTAGATACCAACTTCTTGGAAAACCCCTAAAACTACTCCTGTTAATATGAAAAGCAATATAGTGGAAAATTTTCCCCTCAATAATCATTATACTATTAGTGAAAATGTCCGTAAAATAAATAATCACAAAAGAATATTGTTATTTTGCTCTAAAATTGCATATTTTGCATCCCAACAACCAAATCAGAATATAGAAACAAGGATATTATTACAAAGGGAGTACAGAATCTAAATAATAAGGAATATATGCTTTACTTAAAAATGTAAAAGATATCTTCTTTTATAAGAACAGACCTTTTATTTCTTACAAATAATCAGGCATAAATAAAAGTTTTGTTTTTTAAAAAAAGATTGGTTAGGAGGGTTTCAACTTCTTGTTTTCTATGGGGCATCATCAGTATTTCAAAACTATTTCACAGAGACACAAAACTGCTTTTGCCCAGGTAATCAATGTATTTATGCGGCACAAAAATTATAATGACTTCTGTGCTCGATTCAGAGAAAAGACAATAATTAGTTTACAGTGCAAAGCAGCATTGTATATTCCTTCCTTATCCCAAAGGATCCAATTACTTTCCGGCAGCGCCGTTAGGAGAGAGCACTCGTATCCAGTGTGGTGGCTAATGAGGCCGTGCTCGTGTCCGAGGTGACGCGGGAGGGACGCACGCATCTCCCGGAGCTGCTCCCGTCTCTGTGGAATATTAACCCACCGGGAAGTTTCTCCACAGTCTTCCTGGAGCTCGTATTAAGGCAAAAGGCAGACCAAGGAAAAACGCTCAACTCCTTTTCCTTTGCAGGAACAGGAGCAGTTAATGCATGAGGGAGGTGTGAAGCACACTCCATCTGCCCCATTTTTGGGGCTGCGAGGAGACAACCGCTCAGCCAGTGAGCAGCTGAAACGCTACTCATTACTTACACTCTGGAGATTATTTTTATATGTTGCCAGTATTTATTTGCATATTAAAAACTGGCCACTTAGTTTTTTGGAAAGGAATGTATTTTCCTGCAATGAGGCATGTTCGGTGTAATTCTGATGTAAACAAGAGGTTGGTTTTACCTCAAAGCAAAAGCAATCACTTTTCCACTTTGGTTTCTGTCCTCCCTGCAACAAACAAGCAAACAGAAGCACGGGTTGTTCTTCAGCACCCCTAGTAAAACCTTGGCCTATTCTCATGATGCTCAAACCAAACCGAGGAGCCCAAGCTGCTCTCCAGAGAACTATCTTTACAGCTGAGATTTACGCAAGGGACCTGCTCTCTGGAGACAGACACTTCATAAATACAAACAATCTCTAAACACCGACAGCCTAAGGATGAAACAATCTATTCCTAAACAAAATCATTTTTACTATTCCTTAAAAATTTGAAAGCTACTTGTGAAAAAGAAAAAAATACAAAACAACAACCCAAATACCACAGCATTTAACCTGAGCTTTTTGTCACAAATACCTATTAGCAAAGACACGAGGCTGATTTCTATGAAAAGCAGCAACCAGTATTTACATGTAGCAAAGGAATTGCATATATTGTATGGATTTACAGCCTATTTATGTTAATATAGAGGTTTCCGTTTTCTCAGAGACCAGTCAGCCTCCCCTCCTGAGCACTGCATCAGCACTGCTCGTGGCCCCAGATGTGCCATGAACAACATCTCATCTCTGTTCATCTCTGTGGTGACTCTGTGTGTCCAAGGCAACCAAGAACCTTCTCCCACGGCCTGGCCCTCATTTCCGAGCTGCAATCTGCTGGTGGCAGGTTCTGCTGTCACAGATGGGACACATTCAGTTACAAGGAGGCAGCACAGGCCCAAGGGATGCTCCTGCACTGCTGAGCACCAGCTCACAGCTGTGAAATACTGATAATGTGAAACTTATCTCTGTGTCTGTGTGCTGCATCCCTGAGACATTCCCCCTGTAGAAGTGCCAGTGTGCACTAGAAATGACACATAATCAAAACCTTCATCTCCTTCAGTAAAGTCTAAGGAGAAAAAAAAAAATGTACTGCTGGTCTGCAGAAGTACAAGCTGGTTAAGCAAAACCATATCAGAAGTTCAAATGGTTTGCACACTGTAAAGCAATTTTCCTCCAGAAACGGAGGACCCACTTCATATAAATCCATCCTCTGTGAAACCCCAAGGGAAAGGTTTTTTCCTATGAAAAGGAAACTTTCAATAAAAATAAGGCAAGAAATAAGTGATGATCAAAATAATATGGCAAGTCAATGCATTTCTTCTACCTCAGCAAAACAGTATCCTCATGTAATATCACGTTTAATACAGTTTCTGTTTCTATTCAAAAATCATTTTCAGGCTGTAATCACACATTTCAGATGGCACAATTCAAGACAGCGAAAGCAACATGGGAATCCCAGAAACAAGAGTTCTCTTCATTTAGGAAACCTGGGATTACCTGCACGTTGGTATTTCTGAGGAAGGCAGCGACAAGGGGGTTGCCTCAGTTCACACATCCCGCATAGAACAGGGGGCCATTCCAAGCAATAGGCGCAGATATTGTGGATATCTAAGAATATCCAGGAATAGGGGCCATTCCAAGCAATAGGTGGCAGAAGGGACTCGCATCCCCTGGCCTCAGAAGCTGGTCCTTAGGGAATCACAACGGATACTCACAGGTTCTGTCAAGAGCAGCACTAGCCAAAATGAACCGTGAGCAGAGCCACTGCTCTGGACTTCCAAGTGCCTCCTGCCTCGTGCAGCACCAGATGCAGTCTTCTCAGCAAGGACATTTAATGTTCCATACAAAAACAATCCCCAAATTACTGAACCTGACCCCCCAAGCAATCTCTCCTCTACAAAGAAAGACTACCTTTGTATTCCAAATCTTATTGTAGAGGATCCAAGCTTAAAAGCTAGAAAGTGTTCCTCGAGAGCAGCTGAGCCACTTGCCGTTCTCTTCCCATCAGCGAAAAGAATCTAGATAGTTTTCAGACACATGCAATTAGAGGAATATTAAAAAAATAACGAAAAGGAAAGGTTGCACAGAGCTTATGAGGAAGAGGCCATCCAGGAGGACATCAGAAACCTCTTTTAGGTGGTTGGAAAGTGCCCCTAAAACAAGCTGAAGTTCAAGGCCTGCTTTCCTTGGTCTCCCAGCTGTGTCACAAAAGTCCAATCAATCCAGGGAAAAATAAAATAAAAAACTGCAAGGCACAGGAAGAAGTCCTATAGTAGCCCTTGCAGTATGAGGAGAGTACTAATGAATGGAGATTGCTTGCCACCGGTAACATCTGCCTAGGTTTTATTCCTACCTTTGCTTTCGTCAGCAGATAGCTTTTCTTCAGATTCATCTAAAGATGAGGAATTCTGTGAAAGCCTCTCGGGGGAGAGAGGCGATCTGGACTTGCTACTCTGCTCTGGTTCAAGTCTCGACCTGCAAGTACAAGAATCTATAATTAACATAACTTAATAAAATGAGGACAACCACACATTAGTTAAAAATGTAACAAACTTTAACCCTGCCTTGCCTAATTCTCATTAAGTATTTCCCCAATAAAGGTATAAAAGGTACATAACAACCTTCACCAAATTACAAAAGCAGGGAAAGCCCAAACAACAGTTCTGAGTAAAACACATTACTTGCTCAGAGCTGAGAATTTTGAAGGCTATAGCACAAAGTCACAGACACCTTATTTAACTTCCTCTCAAAACCCTAGTATATACTAATCTGTAAATCTTACATTTTTTTCCTAAAACAGTTGAGGCCTATCGAAAAGTTTTTAGCAGCATTAAATCTGATACCTTTTTTTTCCAAGCAACATTTACAATCTTACTTTATATTGTCAACTAACATTGAAATGTAAGAAAATACAACAAAGTTAACTATTTTTGAAACTTTTGAAAAACTTTTGAAACTTTTGAAAAGTATTTTTAGTTAACTAGCTAAAAAGAATAGTTTAACCAGGATGAAAGTGATCCTTATCTTGCCTGCCAAAAGACAAAACAGATTATTTAGAAGAAACACTGTACAGGAATATACATACTGTATCTAAATCCCCGCCACATAATTTTAATAAGAACCCAGTACAAAGTATCAGGAGTATATTCAGTGATTATATAGTAGATATGTTGAGTCTATGTTGAGTCTGTTTCACCAGACCACTAAAGGAGTTTAAATCTAGTAGCAATATATATTTTTCAGGAGACTATGATGAATTCTGGAGCAGCTATCCAGTACATATTTAGATATCTAACAATTATGCTATTAGAGCAGCTAAGGATCATAATAAGACATTTGAAGGTTGTTGAAAATTTGCAGCTCAAGCACAGAAATGACTGAAAAAAAAATAACAAGCTGAATCACCCGCTGTGCCATCCTTATCACTTCCTCCCCTCCCAAATACACTCAACAGTTAATCTCATTATGATCTACAATCTTCCCCCGCTGCTCAACAGAAGGTGTTGTTGCATTTTGTGTTCCTTTCCTTATTTTATTGTGTCTAAATTCTAACCCTTAATTAGAAAACGTTGAGGGGAAAACAGAATATAATTCATTAGTCATCACTGAGCGACTACTGTATTCAAAGAGGACAAAAGACAAAAGGTAACAGGGAACTTGCTTCTAAGTTATAAAAACTATCTGAAAGTGCTAAGGTTTGAGAAAATTATCAAAAAAAGGCAAAACAAAAATAAATTAAGAAAAAAGCAAGCAAATAAACAAACACCCCTCACCCCTTATCTTCTTCCCTCTCAAGTCCCAGATTTGACTAGTAGTGAGGAAAAAATATCTAGATGCCTGTGTAGTTCAAACAATACTTCTGAAGCTAGAAAAATGCCAACTCCCCAGAAAATAAAAAGCACTTTTCAGGAATTGCATACATCTTTCACCAGAAATTCTAGTGGGGATTCTAATGAGAAGATAGTTTAAAATTTGAAATGAAATGTAACTTTAAATTTCTCATAATTAATATTGTAAGAAGGTGCCATTACAAAAAACAAAACAAACAAACAAACAAAAAAAAGACAAAAATCACCCTTGCTATGTCTGTATTCTCAAGATTTCATTCTTGGGAACCAATCCAACGCAACTGGCAGAAATTTCTGCCAAAAACATTGAGTTAATACGTAACGGCAGATTAATTACTTAACAAAATTATAACACTCATGCAATTAATGGAAGAACTTTGAATGCTTACCCATATAAAAAGAAGCACAGTGAAGCAAATTCTTGCCACAAATCCTTGAGCATTATCTAACAAGTACATATTTTACATTGCTTAAATTGCAGGAAAGAAGACCTGCAGTAGGTTTAGTTTGATTTTAAATATATTTACCTTTACTCTTTGTTGTCCTGACTTTCCAGAAAATGCTAATGTAAAGTTTGCAAGGCATTTTATTATTTTTCAATTGAAATGAAATACTTCAAGAAACCTGTGATCATTTAAGTGATGGAACATATACTTATTAGCATATAAGTGTCTACTGAAATCCTTAGAGGAACTGAAAATCAACTAAAGACATATGAAAGACAACAGCATTTCTACAAGTCATTAGAAAGATGAATTCACACTCCATGATTAACTTGAAATATCTTTCAAGTCAATTGCAATTTGGCCATTACATCATATCACATCACAGAACCACAGAACGGTTGAGGTTGGAAGGGACCTCTAGAGATCATCTAGTCCAGCCCCCTACTCCAGCAGGGACACCCAGAGCACGGGGCACAGGGCGGCATCCAGGCGGGTTTGGAAGACCTCCAGAGAAGGAGACTCCACAACCTCCCTGGGCAGCCTGTGCCAGGGCTCTGTCATCCCCACAGTGAAGAAGCTCTTCCTCACACACAGATGGAACTTCCTGTGTTTCAACTTGTACCCACTGCCCCTTGTCCCGTCACTGGCCACTACAAAGAAGAGTTTGGCCCCCTCCTCCCTACATTCTCCCTTCAGGTACTTAGTGATATTGATCAGATCTCTTCTCAGTTTTCTCCAGGCTAAACAGACCCAGCTCGCTCAGTCGTTCCTCTTAAGACAGATGCTCCAGTCCCTTAATCACCTTGATCACTCTCCACTGGACCCTCTCTAGGAGCTCCACGTCCCTCTTGTCCTGGGGAGCCCAGAACTGCACACAGTACTCCAGGTGCGGCCTCACCAGAGCTGAGTGGAGGGCCAGGATCCCCTCCCTTGACCTGCTGGCAACATCCTCCTGATGCAGCCAGGATCCCATTGGCCTTCTTGGCCACGAGGGCACACTGCTGGCTCATGGTTAACTTGGTGTCAACCAGGACTCCCAGGTCCCTCTCTGAGGAGCTGCTTTGAAGCAGGTCAGTCCCTAATCTGTACTGGTGCCTGGGGTTATCCCTCCCCAGGTGCAGGACCCTGCACTTGTCCTTGTTGAACGTCACGAGGTTTCTCTCCACCCAACTCTCCAACCTGAAGAGGCTCGAGACATCTGCATTGCATTCAGGCTGCACATGGCTAAAATATATTTTAGTTCTTAAATCTATGCAAAAGAGGCATACAAGTATCTTCCAATGTTCCATAAAAGATCGGCATCTTCGGGGTCATTTTTTCATCCCTTATGGCTGTTAAGTGATATTTTAAATTCTGACATAGCTCTTTTTCATTGCTCTCTGCTTAGCGTACATCAGATCGAGGTTTAGCCCTCGGAGAAAACTGAAACTGGGATATCATATGGAAACAACAGCACAGGAGTCCAGCAAACAGAATAGCTGATACCTGTTAGCCAATTATGGGAGTACAGGAACCATTCTATCTTTGAAGTTCTTCACCATGGAGAATACTGGTAAGGTTATGTATTCTTGCACACTAAGAATACCTGACTCTATTTTGTTTCTATATTATTATTTTCTGAAAAGATATAGGAGTTTTAAGGCTACCAAAGGTGTATCTTACTTTTCCCTCATAATTACTTCCTACCAAATTTCAGAACTGGTTGAGTGCATTTTGTTCATTAGTTTTTGGGTTGTCCTATTATTCATGTCCTAGGAGGATAAATTTGACTGAATCCAATTATATTTAGCCATGCTGAATCACTCCAAATAAAATGTACTTCCCTTCTGGATTTCTGAATACATCTCTCTAGTTTTAACGTACACAACTGATCTAGTCAAACACCAAACTGATAAAGCAGTATCAATTCCTGGAAAAAAACTGAAGAATTTAGAGAATATGAGAGAATGCCCACAAGGCAACCTAAGGCTAGAATTCAAGTACTGCACATTGACAAGAGAGGACTTCTGAGGTATTAAAAAAAAATTACAAATTTGCAAACTTGTGCATTCTCACTGTCAACCTCACACCTGACAGTGTACAGTAAGAAAAAACTGTGAAATGTTCTATTCTGATACCTGGCTGGGGGAAAAAGGAAAAAAAAAAGATTAAAAAAAAGAAAAAAAAAATCAGACAAAGCAGCTAGCACGCATCTTCAATTTCTCCTAGGCCTTTTTACAGATTGAATGTGTGTAAGCCATCATGGTAGGAAGAAGAAGCTGCTTTCTTTAAATTAAAAAGAAAAAAGGTTTGATTTTTATTAGGTTTCTATAGGCAAGAAATCTATTTCGAGTAGCATTTATTTGCAATCTAATCGCTTGTTTTTTCAGAAAGATGGTGGCTTTAAGGAAAGAGATGAGAGAAAAGTGAACATCCCTCATACCTACACAGATGGTATCTTGATATGATGAACAGCATCATTGACACATATTATAAATGAGCAAGATTCCACACTAGAATATTTTACACCATTTACTATTAACAGGACATATGAAAATATTATGATGTTTTTGCAGAACTCCAGTTCTACATTAACCCACATTTTACCAATTTGATGGTTTAACTATTTATATATATTAAAAACACCACAATATCTTTTGTTGTTCTGACATTTACAGACTTAACTGCTCACATTCATGAAAGAAATACAAAGAACATGAGCAAAAATAAAAGGAACAAAGCACAAAAAGAAACACCTTAGAGCTTTGGAATGCAGCTGCTCACAGTGCAGGTAGCACGTCCAACTATGGCTTTCCATCTGAGAGAACCTCATTGGATTCTAAACATGAATTTTGCTCTCTTCAATATCCTACAAACTAAAGGTACAGTCAAACATTTCATTTTCTGTTTTGCTTAAAACACAAGGGCACACTACTCACAGTCTCTTCTTGTCTATTACTCGCTTAACTCGGATGGCTCTTTGTTCAGAGTACAGCTTGCACACCCCTGTTCAAAACACCATACATCAAAAACTGAGGTCAGATCAGCATTTGTTTCTTGGAAAGAGCAATAAAACATTCATTTTTAACCATTCAGTATTTCAGGAAAAATAAAATACTTAGTACTTTTTAAATAATCCTCAACAAAGTCCAAGACAGCCGTTCTGTGCTCCTTCACCTGTGCAGACTGGACACCCCTGTGTGCTGAAATGCAAAAGGAAGATATAAACCTTTAGCTTTACATTGAACTACACAAAAGTCATGTTCTCAGTCTATATGCAAGTTGTATTCAGGAGCCTATTTAACACTATATAATTGAAGACAGCTATACTTTATATACAGATCTGCAAAACAGCAAGTTATTACAACATACGAAAACCCCAAGCCACTTGCTGTCATATGATCCTTATTTTTTTGATTCTTCAAGTCCTGTTTTTTGTCATACTGTGTTTATTAATTTTCTAAACAAGAGTACATGTCATCAAGGTAAGGAGAACAAAACAGAACTAGAGACTTGGCTTGCCCAATGTGTTGAAGCTCTAACACCTTCAGTTCTCCAGTATTTAGAGTATGCGCTATGCTTCGGTTCTTACTTTGTCAAGCATCCTTTTAATTCATACACATTAACGTTTCTTATTTTATTATCATGAAGCTCCTAGGCATGAATTGCTTTCACCGATTCTGAATCTTGCTGGATGTGTGTTTAGATGGCATTTCCAAGCTGGCAAAATCTTTAGTATACTTCGCCCACCCTCACAGGCTTACTTTCTAGGAAATGTATCCTGTCGTTCCAGACAACATCAGAGTAAATTGAACTTCTAGAAAAGGAGGGACATGCTGTAAGTCCTAGTTTCACCTCCTAGTAAGTGTCTTCATTTTCATGAAAATGAACTACCAGTTCAAGCATTTTTCTTCTGTTCTTGTAATTTGGAATTCATCTTCAGATACTGATGAAACACAGACATAAAGCAACTGAGTTTGAAGAGGCAAAGGACAAGTTTGCTCTTGCACTCTCCTAAGGTAGTTCTGTAAAATATTCATCTTATCCTCAAGTTGTCAGAAATACCTGTTACTTTACTGAGACTGTGGTCAGCAGTAACCACATCAAGAGCAGCAGTGTCACCAGCACTCTTTATACCAATATAACAAAAGGCATCAGTTTTGTTAAGTTGTCTATTAAAAAGAACACGGGAGGAGGGAGGGAGAAAAACAGAACCACACAGTGTTTCCTG